TAAGGCTTGGTTAAGCACGAGGGCTGTGATTGTATTACAACAGTTATATTCATTACGGTTAAAGCAGTTTAGTGTTGAAAGACATTTTTATGCTGATTTGTCAACAATGCAACACACTGGGGTTTATATCTTTCAGTCTTTATGTTTGGGTTAAATACAGCAAATTCTCTCATTTCCTCTCTCCTATTGAGACACAGTTACTTACAGTTGTGGATGCCCACACAAATGTTTGTGCTATTGCATTAAACCAGCACATTCATAATGTTTTGGTGAAAGTGAATTGGTAGCATGTTTTAGCTCACTAATACCTTACCAGGGCATTGCAAGAGCAATGCTAGTGGGTTGCTAACTGCACACAGAGAACACTGGGATGTTCTGCAGCACACTGATGGGAGAGGTGTGTTTCTGTTTCAGCTTTCCAGTTTAAGCTCTCCAATTGCTGCTGTGAAAATAAACCCATGTGAAAAATTAAATTACCTATAAAATATGGAAATCCTATTTTATCTTGTTCTTGACTGTTAGAAGAACGTGTGAATCCTCAAAGGGATCTTTCATCATGGGAAAATGAGTAAGTTTATCAAATGTAGGGATGGTGGATCTCATTTGTTTGGCAGCTTGCTCAGACCAAGCCTCTTGCCTTGTCAGTAGAAGTCACAGGACCACCAGAGTGCCATTATTATGTAGTAAACCAGTTATGGCCTTTATATCTGCTTATCTCAATACTGGTGAATCCATCAAGGCCTCATCAGAGTCCAGTTCATTACTCTTCATATGTCAGTGAAGTGCTTCAAGTTTGAGAAACAAAAGCATCTACAGTGTCACACCAAATAGAAGTCCCAATGTTACCTCAAAAACAATGAGCTTTTTAGGATTTAGGAAATTGTTTTGAAAACAGAAGATTTAAACCTTCTCCAAAGGCTTTTTGTACTGAATTTGATTTACAAATAAGCCACAATATTTTCTTTTTCCCTAGGAAAAGTAAGCAGCAGCAGTCAGGAGTGAAAAACAAATGAAAATCTAAGTCTATTTGTGAAAAGGGAAGAATAGGAGTGATCGGTATCAAAAAACCTTAGTTAAATAACATGGGGTACCTTCCTCCTTCAAAATATGGTTCAATAATTTTAAATAAGCAGTAGGTACTAAAACAGCATAGGTAAATCTTGCTGGAGACTGTGAAACTGGTCGCTTCTGCTCTGGTAGTTACAAGTGTTTGCTATTCAGTCTGTTATGGATATCTGGAAAATAGTTTGAGTGCAGAAAGCGCCTCAGGGATAAAAAGTTAGAAAAGAAAAATGTATCTGTATATCATTGGCATTCATGAGAAAATTCACATTAGGTGCCTTCAAATCAGGTGCTCAGGAGACAATATAGAGATCAGGAGCAATGGTGTGCCAAGAATGCAAGCTTAGCTGGGACAGACTCAGCTTATTTCCTGGCAGATGAAGAATACAGAAGTATGTAAGGCCAAATTCAAAAGATAATATAGATGTGTGGAAGCTGGTGGGAGGGAAAGCTGAGGCTGCAGAATAAAAAGGCAATGCATGCACTCCATGGATCTTCACATTTTTATTCACATTTTTATTCTTTTCCTCCATATGCATTCAAGAGATCTCTTTCTATTGGTAGTTACACCAATATACTAACCCTGGAATGAAGCTCTTCTGCCCTCACCACTGTGGAATTTAATCCCAAATCCCTGTTGTTAAACACTGTTCCTTTCACCAGGTCAAAAAGTTGCTATTTCTATAACATAGCTACATTTTGCCATGGGTAAAAATGTCAATTTGCTTGAATTTAGCTAAGAGCAAAATCTCATCATCCCCGCTGCCTGACAACTTTTACCTCAGAAAGATGTCAGTTCGCCACCTGAACCAACTCTGTCTGGCTTTTACAAAACTAACAGGCGACTGTGGCAGAAAAGTGAAATGGTGCATATTTTCATTAAAAATCAGATGACACCAGAAATGCATTTTCTTCTTTGTCACCGACTTGATATTGTGTTTTGCTGCTTAAAAAATAAGCGGTTGAAGAAAGTATAGGTCTTGAAACCTGAAGGCCAGAAACCAGGTTGAGCTTCAGCTCAATAAAGAAGAAAATATTGATGCTTATGCTAATGCACTAAATATATGTCAGAGCTTTTTAATTAATAAATGAATCTATAACATATCTCCTTCTAGATTCCATTGCCAAGGGAAAACAACAATACAACTGCAAGCTTCAGACACATGACAAAAACACTTTCCCTCTGTTAAAAGTGAAATGCCACTAAGTTAATACATCTACTCATATCCCATGTTTAGACTGAAATTTTCAATATTCCACATATCTGAAAAGAAATATTTCATGAAAGCAATACTTTTGTGCTCTTTCTTTACAATATTCAGAGTATTTGCAATGAGAAGTAGCTGTTGCACAACCTATCCAGGCAGCAGCTTGGTGCTGTGCTGCCTGCGGAGCCATAGCTGAACGGTGTATTTCCCCCATACTCATTTCAGCCCCCTTTTTCCACTACAGTGTTTCTAGCTCTTTGTCTCATATATACCCCTGTATGTCCCACATATAACATTTGGACGCCTCAGGAATAGACAGACATCTCTCCTTCCCCCACAAATGAGAAGAAAAGTGACAGCTAAAAAGTATTTGAGGATGGAGTCCTTTCCTATGGATTTGTCCTTTCTAACAGGAAAACAACAAAAAATTATGCTGACTACTCCCATAAAAAATGCATTTGTAAATTATATACCGCTAACAAATAGACGTGATCAGTATTTTTAGGGGGAAAAGTAATGTTTCCCCCATGATCATATTTAACATACTTTGTTTTCCATCTATCTGTCTAAGACCGACTGTTCAAACTGTGGCATAACAATTAGAATAAGTGATAGCGTTACATCCAGAAAACAAAGAGTATGATGGCACAATTTATCTTGTTACATTTCTTGATTTAATGCCAGTCTGGGATTTCTAGTCTGAACCAGATTTTTCTTATGCTATAAATATTTCATTTTTTTCATTTATTCTTGATTTAGTTTGACAGTAAATAATCCCATGGAAGCTGCTGTTGGAAAGACGTTGTAAAAATTATTAAGTGCCTGCTTGCCAGTTAGGTCCTTGTGTTTGTCAGAAAGAAACAAGTAAAACACTTGGGTTACTTAAAGGGAATGTGTGCATATATATATATATATTTACAATAATGCCCCATAATTTTCAATCTTAGAAGCATAAAAAATACAGAGCTGAGGATTGATCAATACCTGGTATGAATACAAAGAGGTTCTGGTGTATATTCTGGATATTGACAGCAGTGGGTGCTTGTTTTTCAGTTTCTAAAGACTCATGTATAACCCAGAAAGAGAAGAATAGAAGGCAGGGAGTTTTTTAGAAGGATCTGTCCTTGCAAGAAAGAGCAAGTATCTTGGAAAAGGATGGATCTGGTCAGTTAACTGGATTTTATCAGTGATTTTTTTCTGCTATTCAGAATATTCCCCCTGGGTAACATGAGTAACATTAGAGGGTTCGAGTCCTTTTTCTTTTGAGCCACGATTGCCTTTGGCAACTCTTGCATCTTTAAAATGGATTTCAGGTGATCTGCACAAAATAACACACACCAAAGGTGCAATGACCAGAAATGGGACTTGTCTGAGAAATACTGAGGAAAAGGATTTAGGTGGGACCAGAGTAGGCAGCACTGGGAAATGCTCTTGAAATAAGCATCAAATGAAATTTCTGGGTTTTTTTACAAGGCTGAAGCCATTTATACTTTTAAATGCGCAAAGTGCTTCAGCAGACCCCAGATGTGTGTGAAGTAGGACCTCATAGAAGGTTAAAAGAAACTCTGCTTTTTCCATCCTTTTTCTCTTTTTTTGTTAAATCATGAAAGCTTGTGTCAAGGTTTGATCATTCCCTGCCTGAAATGGCAGCTGGCAAAGGTGCACCAGGTTTACATGTGTCTCCCCTGAGACCACCTACTATTTTTAAGTGAAGTTTATAAAAACCTAAGAACAGAATTAGGGCCCTTATAGAAGTGAAATGACTTCCAAAAGAGTTGAATTTTTTAATTTTCTTAAAAAAACATCTTTCTCACTCATATTAACAATAAGTTTCAGGGCAAGCCAGTGTGGTAAGTTTTCACACTGGTATGAAAAATGAGGTAAGTGAGAAGAGAATATGGATCTGTAAGTGTGGATCATAAATGTATTTCTCAGGGGAAAATTTTCATCACTTAAAAGGTTTAGAATGATTTTATGATTTTGTAAACCCATTTTATTAAGTGATTTCTGGTTTCAGCTGTTTTATGAACTGATTCCCAACAGTAAATTACTAGTTTGCCCTTTGAGAGTGTAGGCCAAACAGATACTTTTTTCCTGGTTAAATTCATCATATATTGACTGAAATGTCAAAGCAAATTAAAGCAAATTGCTATGTAAATCCTTATGGGTGAATGTTTCATTTCTGAAGAATAAAGGTCAACAAAAGGAAGTTTGGTTGTTTTTTTTTACATATTGTATATATGACATTGTGTTGCCCTCTCCTCCCATATGAGACCCATTTTGCATTAGTACCTGTTTAAGTTGCAGTACCTTCACAAAAGAATTCTTTCTGAGAACAGAAGCCATACTGCTATACGGCAAGAAATATAAAGTGTTACAAAGATTTAAGAGTTTTGCAACATTTTTGCAAACACTTTCTTCTAATCTGGAAACTTTTGGCCAATTTTTCTTTCTCATTTGGAGAAATTCACTTCTGTGCAAGTGATCCTTGTACCACATGGAGTGGATGGATGGGTCTCAAACAGTATGTATGATTTTAATTGATCTCGTTGCCAGCTTTGTGTGATTTGGGAATGATTTTTCATGCTGGGATGAGGCTACCCAGACTATGTATTGCATTTTTAATGTCTTTAAATGGTACAGTTGAACATAATTATACATGGGGAAAATTTGAGTATTTATTTTGAATCTGCATTTTAATTATTCAATATCTCTTCCTGTTTTTTACAGGATATCAAGGTAGTCACAGGAAGCCACACTTTATTTTCCACTGATTGGATGGGAGGAATTTTTGACCTTGGAAAGTGGAGATGGTGTTGCTATGGAAACTAATAAGTCTGCTGCCATTCATGAGCTGCAGCACAGGTAAAATGTTCCACTATTAGTGTTTGTGATTGATAAATCTTTATCAGTATCATAATTCTTCTGGAAAGGAGAAGCAATTACCAAAACTAACAGTACTTACTCGCATGAACAAGTGACTAAGGAGCTTTTCGTTAGGACATGTTTTAATTTTAAGCAACACAAGATGCTGCCTTTGAACCAGGAAAACACGTTTCAAGATCATAAGAAATCTATACTCCAGGTAATAGCTTTAAAAAATATTCTGAACTGTAACACTGAGAAAAAAGTACTTAGTGTTACTTGGCTAACAATATACACATGAAAGACATCTCTTAGCCATAGCATGACTAACTCTCAAGACAGGAAATGGAGTGGATTAAAAGCAAGAACTGTTTAGTGAGGTGTATGGTAATGTTGCATAGATGGTTTAAATTCCAGACGTAATATCATGCCCTTTAAATGCCTCCATACTAGCAAAGGGCCCAACTGAAATCACATTTAACTTGAAGACAAATAAAAGCATTCACGTATGAAGTTCAAAATAGGTAAGAATCATAAGGACTATCAAAACATAAACACCAAAAATGAAAGAAAATCTTGCTTAATAACCAAAGCAAATGCAAATGTTCCTTCTTAGCCTCCAGTTGGCATGACGATAGACCCTCATGCAACCTATCCTGTCACTGAACCAAGTGCTGGGCGCCCTGTCAGTCCTCAGGTTGTATTCAGAGGGCAGTGTGGTTGGGGAAGCAAGACTGTTTTACCTCATTCTCCTTAAATATCCCTTGTGCTTAATTAAAACATCAGCATGTTGCTAACATACTGTAAGGTAAAATGTTCATTTCTGCCTGGCTGGGCATTGTTCACAGTGAGGGTTTGGTACTCTGAGTTCATCCTTTTTTGAACCTTTCTTCTAATTCAAAGCACATAACTTGACAATCCTTCTTCATAAAGCCATAAAAATGAGATTAACTCATGTGACTCATTACAGATTCATCTAAAAACAAACACAAAATTGTAACTGAATCATTGAGGTTATAATGAATTTGGGGGTGACCTGACCCATCACACTCGTCTGTGATAGAAACCATGACAACTGCCTTTTGTCTTCAATTAATGTATTGAACTCTAAATATCTGGGATGTTACTCATGTGCTTACAAGAAAATTGTATTAAAGTAACCTCAAATGATACTTAATTATGTAGTGCAGGAGTCAGCAGCTGTTTGAAATACAGAGACAGAATCAGAGTGCAGACTTTGGTAGTATTTTTAAATATTTAAATTAAATTAGATAATATTTTATCTAACAGATGCCAGGTAAAAATATAAATCTCAGGATCAGACTTTCTGTTAAATCAAGACTAAATGTCTATTTCAGTAACAAACAGACAACATGTTAAGGACTTCATATTAAAGTTTTTGTAGAGATTTCAAGCAGGCAGTTACTCATTTCAGTGCAGATACGCTGAACAAAACACAACAACCTATGTAGAACCCCGATCTTCCCTTTAATTGCCCACTGCACTGCCACAGCATCTACCAGCTCTCTTGAGTACTTCCTACAGATCATTTCTTTCTTTAGCAGTCTAAGCAAAGGACTTGTACCAATCATTGAAACTACAGGATTCCCCTATAATTTCTTGATTGCTTTTAGCAGTTTTGAAGTAGGTGGTGATCCTGGAATATGAATCACTGGGTTGCAGTACAGCTTAGTGATGGACAAGATATTTTTATACCATGTTTTGTATTTCCAAATATAACCTTTCCCTTCACATTTTCTACAAAGCTTTCATTTTTCAAACATTTTGTCATCTTCATCTTACTTGCTGGAGGATCATCTCTTAATGAGACCAGTATCCTCAGCCAACTGAGTTAAAAGATATTAGGAACTCATTTTTACATTTATGTGTTTTTGTGAAGACTTAACAATAGATAAAAATCTCAATGTTCCCTATTCCCAGGCACCAAGAGAAGATATCAGCTGCACCTTTGTCCTGAACCTGATGTCAATTAAAGGAATAGCAAAAGCTCCCACTGTCTTCACTGAGATGAGTTAATTTACACCTGGGTACAAATTAACCCCATTGATTTCAGTGGAGCTATGCCGATTTTCACTCCATGGCATTCTGAAATATGCTTGACTGTAACAGTCAAACCTGCAGTTATTGGCAAAACTTCTTTATTACACAGACTGTTTGCATCAATTTAGGAGTAATAAGACCAAGTGGGAAAATTAGGAACTAGTCATGATGCTGAGCAGAGCAGTCTTGTGGGCTGGAGCTTGGAAGGTAATTCAGGCTGTTAGACAACATTGGTCAGTCATTTCTTCATTTCTACCTCAGTTCTACCAGACAAGGAATTAAAATGATACTGAGATAAATCTAAGGATTAAATGGGCTGTACAGAAGAGCTAGGTGTTACTACCCCCCAAAACCAGTAATTCAATTTCTCAAAAACCAAATTACCCTTTATATTCTCTCTATATGGAAAGATTGCAAAAGAGTAATATTCCTTCCTATCCTTATATTCCAGCAGACTTTTTTTATGTGACTTGACAAAGGTCTTTGGGTTTTCTTGCAAGTGCCTTAGGGGATTAAATAAGATAATGTATGCATATACAGTGACACAGAAAAGGAACAGATTAGACTTTTTTTTCATAACCCATTGTTATTTAAATGAGATAATCTGATCTAAGCAGAGCACCAGAGGCAAGAAGGTTGATTAAGATAAGCTCAGAGATCAGTACTTTAAATTCTGTGTACTTGTTACAAGGAGGCCTGGCCACTATCTTCTTACGCTATTGTTGGGATTTAAACATTACTTGATATTAATATGTTAAGAAAGAGCCCTCTCTTTCTGAATTAAAGATCAAGACAGAAGTTTGAGAAGCTGATATGAACAATAAAGTGTCCAAAGTGCTCAAGGAATAATTTTTTCTTTGCACCAAAATTGTCTCAAATTTGCCTTGAGGAAAGGAGCTCATGCTCCTTCCTCTGGACCTATTGTGCAAGGCTGGTTGCCAGCAATATAATTTTGAGAGAAGAAGCTGTCTTAAGTATCCATCAGCTGCACCTTAGACTGCTGATTGGAACTGGGTTCCACACCTGATTCTGCAGCATGTTGTCCATGCAACAGGCACCTCATCCATCTGTTCCTCTGGCCACTCCATGCCCTCTCTGTCTAAAAGGATTTATGGATTATGCCCAATGTTCTAATGCAAAGAATAACCTGATCATAAATACGTTGCAAAAGCCATTATCCCACCCTTTGCTATTACTCAGTTTAGGAATATAGGGTAAATACTGATTGCAGATTCTTAGGCAAGAAGAGAAACTGGCAGAGTTTGATTTTCCAGTGTCTGACCTAAGTATATGACACTGTGGGAACGGAAGTCTATTGGTAGCTCCTTACACAGCAGCTTATGTACAGTCCTTCTTTGGCACCAGTTCCATAGCAAATATCTGAGCTTTCCTGCTTCCTTCTTTCAATTCTCTTTAATGTTCAGGAAAAGGAGTTACCTCATTATTTCTGCCGTTTCTGTCTTCCTCCTGGACAGCTTCTGCAAATTTTCTGTGTCCCTCCTGTCATGACCCCTTTTTTATCTGATTCCTGGTGTCTTCTGCCCTTCAAAGAAAAACATGCAGTCTTGAATATAGAGATGGCCTTTGCAACTGTCCTTTGCTCTGCTGTTTGTCTTGACCCCATCATGGAAGCAAATAGGTTTTCCAGGGGTAAAGATGAGGAAAAAGGAAAATGTCAGTAAAAGTTATCAGGCTCTTAAAATTAGCTATAGACAATATAAATATTAAAAGCCAAACCAGACAGTCTGAACCTTTGGTTTGAAAATGAGGCAGTAAATGTATTTTTACACAGTCCTTTGGCTTATTGGCTTAAATTCAATTGAAGATGCAACCGCAACCTCCCAGGCTGTATTTTGGCCCATCATTTTGAAACTGCTAAATTAAGGAGAGAAATTTCATGATGTAAAGTGCCCTCATACTCCTTTGGGTCACAGCATGATGAATATTGAATACATCACATCCCAGACTCTGCCTGCAGTCTCTTGCAGATTTATTGTTAGCATAACAGCACCTTTAGGAATGGAACAGCAGACCATATATTTTAAGACAAGTGACATCTCTGCTATTTCTAACAGTGAACTGTGGAGATAAACTAGTCCAGCCTGGAAATGTTAAGGTTTCTCTGAACAACCAGAGACATTCAGAGACCCACTGATGAGTCAGAGAATGATAATAATTAGGTCTCCCTTGGACAACATGGAAGTTTTTGTGACTTTGGGAAACAGTGACCCTGAAAGCTGTATTTCTGTAAATTACTTCCAAGCATCTGGCAGGAGAGGATGACTGGTACCTCCATGACCTTCTCACCAGAGCAAAAAGTGACATTTAAAAAAACCACATTGTTTCCATTTCATGGGGTGCCACGTGGTTCAGCTCATTTCCCAACATCAGTACACAACAAATATACTCTGGTACAACAAAGCCAGCAAAAGTGCGTGCCTGATGCCCCGAAGATGAGGTGCTTGGGCAGGTGAAAGAGTGGTGCTGAGCTATGGAGAGGTGGGCAGCCCTTCCCCTGCCATTTTAAAGACTACAAATCTGTTTGTTATTGGCAAGACACAGGAAGAGGGACTGTGACTGTGTTTAGAGAGGATGGACTATGAAATTAGTCGTTTGATTTGATGTTAACAGGCTTTACCTAATTTCTGTCCTTCATAAAGGTTTTGCTAACTGGCATGACCCTCACCCTTATCTTCCCCTGGTACCTCACTTGCTTTACCTTTACATGCAACAGATCAATTATCTGGGTCTGACATCGGCCAGTCTCATCCCAGCTAAAAACCAGTACTCTGGGAACTGCCACACAATATACTCAGGCACAGACTTGGGACTTAGTACTTTTTATACTAGCAGGAAAAATACTGTTATCAAAACAGACATGAGAACATGTGCAACATGAAGGAAAAAGACATTATAGGTAGGAAGGAGAAACAAGGTAT